CTAAGCTTTGTGATGGATTCAAGGATTTAGGATATTTAAATACGTTACCTGTATTAAAGCCAGGAAAGCAGCTATCCATTTGACTAAGAGAATTAGGAAGCGGAAATCAGCTTGTCCATGAAAGAATGGTTTGCTTAACTAGCAGACATTTGAACAAGCCTCTTTCGTTATATGTTTTCCATCAGTAAGCTTTTTAAATAAATTTGATATATTGAAAGAGTTCTTACACAATAGAAATTTCTGTTTGTATAGAGTAATTAGATTTCGTATTTCAGACTTAACTAGACAGTTAATTCTTTTAACATCAAGATGATCTTTCATCTAATACAACCTTTCCTTTTCCTCCGGGGCCTTTTGAGATGAGGAGAGGAAAGTATGTCACATCTCATGTAGATTTTTCAGTAGGGCAGCAAATATCAAGACTGCATCTGAGGTGGATTGAAAATGAAGATGGCCTCTAAGTGGTGATATTTTAATTTTAGGTAATGTTGGCTACCTAACTGCTACAACTATGAGTGCAAGGCTATCAGCCATAATCAATGCCTGAAGGTTATGGGTGTGCACTGTTGAGGAGTCCCGTATTAGGATGAAACAGTTATCCAGTGCTCCCGGGTTTCCAAAGTTCCTGCAACTAATGTCAGTTCATGGTGAATTTCAATATGAAATCAACTAATAAACCTCCACAAACCTCCAGCTTGTATTATTCGGGCTTTAGAGACTATTACACTATGTTAAATTCACATTTCAACTTCAACACCCAAAAGGGAAACTGAAGGACGAAACTAAAAAGGACATCTTCACGTCATCAGTCATCAGTAAAAAAGGCAGATATTGAGCAACACTCCCGAGGAAACCCGATTGGAAGAATACTGGAACTATGTGAAAGTGACGTGGAAGGGAACCTGCATAACCATGTTAGGAAGGAAGGCGAAACAAAACATGGAATGGAATGGATATCGATGGACATATGGATGCTGATAGAGGAGAGGAAGATGGTGAAGCAGAAGATGATTCAGTGCAGTGCAAGGAGGTACAACGAAAAAACGAACTGAGTACAACGTATAAAAAAACACTGGACAAAGAAGTGAAGAAAAGTGCACGGAAAAAACAAAAGACGCTTCTACGACACATTGGCAAGTGAAGCAGAACAGGCTGCAGGTAGAAGAAACTTGACAACATTATATCAAATAACCAGGCTACTATCTGGAAAGAGATAAACTCAGATGAAACCAATGAAAGATAGTGAAGGAAAGCTAGTCACCAAAGGGCAGAAATAAAGCAATGGGCTGATCACTTCGTAAATCTCTTGAATCGACCACCACTAACAACACTACCAACTCGTCGAGAAATACCACCAGCAGCTCAGCCACAGAATTACCAGTGAACGTAAGCCCTCCGACAAAAGCAGGAGCAAAGTCCTGAAAGCCATAAAGTTACTGAAATGTGGGAAAATAGCAGGACCAGATGGAATTCTGCCGGAAGCACTGAAAACAGAAGCAGAGACAACAGTGGACACGCTCACATCACTACTGCAGAAGGTGTGGAAGGATGGAAAGATACCTGACAATTGGGAGAAGGGCTACCTTGACAAACTTCCAAAGAACGGAGACCTAAGTATTTGCAAGAACTAGCGAGGAATCATGCTCTATTCCAATCCACCTCAAGCAAAATATTATGCCGCATCATCCTAGACAGACTAAAAGATGCGCTGGATGCAGAATTACAACTGAAACAGGCTGGTTGGTTGTCTTCAGGAAGAACAAATCATTTGCGGATCAAATCGCGACGCTACCCATCGTCATAGAGCAGAGTGTAGAATGGCAGTCAACTCTCTACCTCAACTTCATCGACTTTGAAAAGGCCCTCGACAGCGTCAACCAAGAAGTAATTTGGCAGTCGCTTCAACACTACGGTTTCAGCCCACAAACTGTTATCAACCCCATTCAGCAGCTATATGAAGACGCCATATGCCGAGTGATCCACAATGGAAAGCTCAGTGACGCCTTTGAAGTGAAGACACGAGTAAGACAAGGCCATCCACTATCACCAATGATATTTCTGAGTGTAGTAGACTGGATCTTACAGCAAACTGTGGGGAGTTGTAAGAAGATGGGTATAAGCTGGACTGATGAAAAGACCCTAGAAGATTTGGATCTCGCCGATAATGATTTATGTCCAATGTCGCACAAACTAGGAGACCTATAGGCGAAAACTAACAAGTTGGCGGAAGAGGTAGGGCAGCGAAGACGGGACTTCCTTCAGGTGAACGCTGGAAAAATACAGGTGATGAAGATCTCCCACCACCAACAACAACAACAAGCACCAATTACCATCAATAGGAGAAACCTAAAGAAGGTAGTCTCGTTCACCTACCTAGGCAGCATCATTTCAACTACAGGCGGCATGGGCACAGGTGAGGATATCAAAGCCAATGGAAAAGACAGCAAGACAGACTTTCATTAACCTGAAACCAGTGTGGAGATCTACTGCGCTGCACCCAATATAAAGAACAAGATCCGGATTTTCAACACTAATATCAAGTCAGTGCTTCTCTATGGTTCAGAAACTTGGCGCGTTATGAAAAGCATTCCAACAGACTACAGACATTCATCAACAACTACCACCTACACTCACTCGATACTGACACTGAAGATCAGATGAGAAGGCCAGAAAGAATAAGCAAGGAGGAACTCTGGCCTGGTAATGAATCAACCAAGAATTCATTACCCAACAAATATGCAGAAGAAAGTGGAGATGGATTGGGCATACACTGAGAAGACCATTCGGGAACATCACGCTTCAGGCACTCAAGTGGAATCCAAAGTGGAAAGGAGAATTTGGGCGTCCGAGGCGAGGGTGACATGGGAGAAATCATATGAGGAAGAAATGAAAGCTTGTTGGCAGCCATGAAGCCAGGTTCAAAAGACTGCAGAGAGGAAAGTGAAGTGGCGACGTGCTACTGATGCCCTGCGTTTCACTAGGAACCCAAGGGAAAAATAATAATAATAAATTCACAACCACTAAATCAATATATTTGTGCCTTAGTTTGGTATGTAGTCATGGCTACAAAGATTGATTTATTAAACATGAATATTGTCAGCAGAATATATAATTCACTGAAACTTGAGTGCATTAAAATTATTCAGGTCATCTGGAAAGTATATAATATATAGACAGATATATAGATAGATGAATAGGCTATCCTCAGTAAGATTGATTTGCTAGTGTCTGAGGTGATACGTCCCTTGAATAAAGGTGTATTTAGTAATTTATTCTAAACTACAAAGAAACTATCTAGGTGAAGAACTATGCGTATATCGATAAGTCTAAGAATCTAGGGGAGTATGGTGTCTCAAAGATCAAGCAACGTAGTTTCATTTCAGTAAAATGCTTATATATACGCAATTATGATTTCAGTAAAATGGACAGTGTGTTGACTGGTCACCGCGGTGTAGCCAACCTCATGTTGTCTAATCTTTTGTGTTGATCGAATTCTATCGATCACTTTGCAATATGATCACAACACTCGTCAGTGACTAGTTGATGTATGTAAATTAGTCCTATAGGAGATCAATTCCGGCTCAATGGTAACATCTGACTGTAGCACTGGGTGGCAAGGGTTTGAATCTCAGCAGGAGACCAGTTCCGCTGATGTTGTAGATGCGCCTTTCTGATGAATGCCAACAAGCACGAAACCTAGGCCAGGCACGGCTTCCTGTCGACTACCTCCATCCAACTAACGAAGTCGATACCGTTATACAGAATAAGAAAATTTCTCACTAGAGCTTTAGTTAGTAGGGCGAAGTATAGCTGATGCAATCCAATGATTTACTAACACTCCCAGACTAAAATGTTTATTCTGGCTGCAGGCTAAAAATCTTACAGTCAGCTGCCTCGATTCCATGTACAACCACACCCACTGAGCAAGTAACCAATATATAAGAGTTGTAATATTACCTTCGGATAAAGGAAGGAAAACCACCGTCATGAACAAAACAGACTGTGTTCAAAAGGTATATGTTTAATCAGTGACTAAAGTGTTTACCAATCACTGGACCAAAATCTAATTAACAATTGAACAACCAGATCCAACTAAAACTGAGGAGATTAGTGAAAGCTGGCGAAATCACAAAGAAGAACAGCAGAAGATGAAGACAAACAAAAGAGTCCTACCAAGGCCCTACGGTCGACCCAAGTTAGTTTCACTACATGGGACAACATTAAGTTTATGAAAGAATTATACAGAAAACTAAACCACTGCGCCAACAACGGTAAACACCTAGTCAACTCGATAAATGAATAAAAGATCTAAAGATAGATGGTGACTAAGAGAAAGTATCCTTTGATGAAGATTGAGTACAATGGACTGAAGGCCTCAGATCAGACCATTCGTAGAAAGATCATAAGACTTAGGATTACTACAAAGTTTCAATTTTTTTTCTTCATTTTGATGCAGTACACAAGCAATACGATAAAAGAAGCAGTTCTTTCGAGATTTCATAAAATGTTAATCGAGCACACACACTTAATGATTACCTTCGGTAGTTTAACAATGAACTGGCTGACTTCTTAGAGATTACATAAGGTCTCTTTATTTCTTGACACCTGTAATTTTTCACTGTCATACTAGATCAAATAGACTGGCAAGTATCAAGGAATAATAATAACTAATTCCCATCGTATAAGAGGTGGTTATAGTGTCTCAGTGACTTAGTGGGTAACACTGTGGCATTACAAGTGATGGGTGCTGGTTTCGAGTCTAAGTGGGTGCTAGTACATTCAGCTGTTGGGTCCCAAATAGAATGAAATGCACGTGTTGCATTCCAGTGCTAATCACAGCCAAGTCAATTCGGATCTCTTTGTTGTACTTTGTTAATTAATCAGTAATTTACATAACCACAGTCCATGACCAAAAAGACGAGTTTTGTTTATTGTTTTTATGTGTCTATTTGTTTGAAGATAATTCACGAAGGTTTTAATGCATCATCAATTAAACATACCCAATTTCAAGATTCCAATCTCTTCTAAATCATCCCATGTAATGCGAACTACTTGTTCAAATGTAATAAAACCTTGATCGTGTAACTTTGGCCAGTATTGTTGTAGGTGCAACTGAATCATTAAATCTTGAACACTTGTCTAACAAAACAAAGAAAACCAAACAGACATATCAATTTACTTAATGGCCAATCAGAAAGAAATTTACACTTTGATTTTGATGAAACATTGATCAACAACAACCTCTACTAAATAATGTTTATGAATGTCATGCTCTACTTTGACACTTCGACTTCATTTTTCTAAAACCAACCTCTCGTAGATCAAGTCTAGGATCACTTGTCTCTTCAACAAACACATCATCTTATTAGGCAGTCGAAACAATTCACATAACTGATATCATTAATCCGAACCCCAGTATACGTCAGGCATGAAACAGTGGCTATTCATTTCATTATTAGTTCTTCGTTCGTCGTACCTTGTGAATCTCCATTGCTGATTAACATGTGGTCTCTCAGAGGATGCTTCAATATTGCCGGTATTTTCAATTCTGATAGTAATGACGGGTATTGACTAGCTGTTGAATCGTCAGCCTGATGTATCTGCACCCCAGTGAGTGATTTTGTTCCCACGAGGACTTATAGCCAGGACAAATGATTTCAAATACCAAAGCATTATCCATTAAGCCAGTGAGTTACGATAGCCATTCCGTGTTCGATGGATATAGTATAGCTTTTTGTTAGTGTTATACATGTAAACTTCTATCGTTCACTGAACCTAAATGATCGATCACTATCGAGAACAAAATCACTCACTAGAAGGCAGGTACATCCAGTTAATGAATCCCGAATAGAACGCAACCCACCTACTGGATTCGATACCCAGCAGTTATCAGTTCATTCATACGCTTCTCGATTGCAAGAATAATTATAAAAGTATAAAACAGATTATTTTACAATCATCAACCATTGTAGTGCCTGGTATTCATTCCAAATTAATGGAATTTAAAATCACTAATGAAATAAGTGCTGAAAATTTGAAAGTACAACTATCCGCTTCTTTTTCTAGATATTTGCATGTATATATGATGAACTTATTTCACAGTAGGTGATAAAATGTACAAAACATTGTGATTAGTTAGTTAATAAATAAAAAATTTTGAAAGACTGATTAATACTAACTGAGCTTCAAAAGCTACCAGCCAAATGGTCTTTAGACTTGAACCTAGGTTTCTCACCTGTCACTTATTCAGCACTGAAAAGGCTTACGAAAAAATTTTTTAACTAAAGCATCTAGTGATGGAGGTTCAAATCCCGTAAAGAATAAAATGAGCTTTCACAAAAATGTACATACGCTGTGTTGTTGAATGCCAACAAGCAAGAAGTATAGGTCATATAGAACTTTCTGTCATTAGACTTCTAATATTTAACACGAAGCACAATGCACACAGTGTCCGTCAGTATGGTATCTGCTTTGCACCAATGAAGTGCAAGATTAGCACGAGCCCATGTCTGCGCTTACCCTTGGTGGTGAGCTGTTGGAAGTAGTCAAGAAGTTCGTATACCTGGGTAATTGTTCGACGGCTAGAAAAGGTAAGAGTGGTGAAACTTCCAACCACATATTGAAAGCCAGAGTAACAAATAACAATCTGGGCCACTTTTGGTGCCATCGCAACGCTAGTCTGACCGTTAAAGGTTGAGTTTACAACGCTTCATTGCGAGCAGATCAGCTCAACGCTCACAAAACCTGGTCTCTCTAAACTGAGGATACGTATTCGATCATCTTTATCTCCGTAGGATTGCTTGCATTCTGTGGCAACACCGTGTAAAGAACTTTGAGGTAATACAGTTTGTGGTTGTGCATGATGGATATAGGCATGCAATAAATGAAGCCATTTGGTGACAACAGCTTCGGTGGCTAGGACATGTTTCATGCATGTACTTCAACGGCTTCCATATCTGCCATTGTTTACTAGCCCTGGGACTGGAAGTGAGAAGGGGAAGGGTGGTCAGTGTATGACGTGGCGCCCTGGGATGAAGGATAGTTGTATAGGGTTAGCATGTGTTGGTTCATCACGGCTCCCTGGGTGAGGCACGAGATCATACAACTTGAGATTTTATCAAAGATGGCTTAGAATCGAAACCAGTGGCGTTTACGCTGTAGCTTCCTCCTATCTTCTGCTTTTGAAAGGTAATGAATGTTTTGTTTTGGATGTATCTTACTGAACTACCCTTCTAATCACTCCATTGTTACTGTGTTTTTTCCATGTCCCTTCCCTAAATATCCTCATAATGTTGTTAAATTATTTTGTGGTGCGTTTCTTAGTGCTCTACTGTATCAAGTTTGTGTTCTAATAATAACAGTAAGCACAACCCACCACAACACCATCTCATTTAAATTAGCCGCCACAATATAAACTTCATCTACAGACCCCGATCCTCTACAGCTACAACTATCAAGAGACAATTTCTCGAAGATTAGTTCATTTCACTTCATCCTGTGGAAGAATATGCACCCCAAACTTTTCAATATAATAAATCCTTAGGCTTTGAGTAGTTTGGGAGTCATTAAAAGTATTCCATTCCATCTAGATTCGGTCGACAATTTCAACAGCAAAGATCAAACTACAAAAAGAGCCAAAGATCTGTAACAATGAGCTCATATGAAAAATGAAAACAAAATGCATTAAATGCACTCAGTAGTATTGCCTAAATTCATGTGGTAGGCAATGAGCTATACGTATTGTGTGAAGGCGAATGATACCACCTGGCTGACGACCTCGGTATGTGCAGCAAAGCTCGAACCTCTTACTCGATGGTTGAAAGCCGTCTCCCTTTATCAGTGAGCCACAGTTCCGCCGGTAACCACATATGGATTCATATAACGTTTTAATTGAGAAAGGGCTAGTCTACAAGACTATTACTTTGACAATAAATAAATTCGTTCATCTTGTGACACATTTTCGGTATTTATACATTTAAGAAGAAGGAAAGTAGAATATGCTATTTCAGAGTGGCTCTAAAGGTCGCTCAAAGCAATAACTGAAGTAACCAATAAGACCTCTCTATTTTATGGACTAAAGGAAGAAACTTAATTGGCTGTCTCAGTTGTTGATGTGGTGACCTTTAAAGTCACCCATATTTCATTAAAGTAAGTCTAAATTGCACATTTTTACACTGACTATAAGAACAAGCTCCTAACAAACAGGTACATTGTGAATTCATTTAGCGCAATCAAAAAAGTTCCTTACCCAGTCAATCTGTAGTGTCAGTGACGCGATGATCTAAACCATATTCAAAACCTTAAACTGGGTGGATGCCCAATGACATTCACATGTTATATCAAAAAGTTACTTGTCGAGTAGTTTTTAGTTATGCCTATAATGTCGCATGAGTTTATGCACAAGTAAGTTTTACATTTCATAGTGCAATTGCTAGGACCTATTGTAGATGCTATATATTTATGCCTCACCTCAAACAAACATATCTGAACTCTACGATCAATAAAACATTTTACCGCAGACATGCCGATGTTACTTATATTGTTTGTGATAATATGAACCATGTGTCAAAGTTGTTCGACACCCTCAGCTAAGCTCATCCAAATATTAATTTTACAATAGAATGCGAAAATGAGGACAGATTATAATTTTTTGGATCTGAGTGTAAGGTGAAAAAGTGTTGGTACAGTTGAGAAGACTATCCACAGGAAAGGCAAGTGGGTCGGTCAGTAACTTCCCGACAATGGTTTCTGTCCTTTCAGCTAATAGCGTGGTTTAGTCAGGACGCTCTTCACTAGAATAAGAACCTTATGCTCAGAAGATAAACAAGTAGAATTCTGTATCATTGAGTAGGCTCTTGTAGAGAATGGATATCCGAAGAAATTCATCATGAAGTACGGAAAATAATTTATTGAGAGAACCAAACACGCAACTGTTGAGAAGGACCCTGTTTTTCACCGTCCAACATTCAAAGGTGATAAGACATCTGAAAGAATAGACAAAAATAAAAGCTGCACACAGAAGGACCTATCCTGTTGCTGAACTGATCTTAGTTTACAATACAGTGTGCTTATGTCACCTCTAACTTTGTACATCTATTCACATGTGCTTGCGGTAGCAAGTCAAGAAGTACATAGCAAGTACATAGGAATGACCAAAAGAAAGTCGTCTACTCAATTTTATGAGCACATTTCAAGAAACCTAGATCTGAAAGGTAGCAAAATCTTTACCAGTCCAAATGCTAGACACCTGATAAAAACCAGACATTAAATAGATGTTTCACAATCCTTCAGGATAACCAACAAACCAAGAACATCATGTTTACTACGGTTTGCGGAGGCTATCACCATCAAATATCCTCAGCCTGACCTACGTACTCATAAAAAGATTGTATTTAACCTTTATTTACCCTGGTATGGAATTTTCGCATGTATCCGTATAAAGTCTTCCTTTCTGTTTTGATTGCATCACCTGTTCATTAGTTATGTAGTGACTATTAATGACCCAGCTTAACGCTTTTCCAGTTTTTTCATGTAATTTCGTAACCTGCTACCTCTTTAATAACCCCTTATTTTACACTCCTTCTTACTTGGTATGCTTCCCTTTCTACACCTCCAGAGTTCTCTATCTCATCAGATATAAATTGCCACTGATTTCGACTAAAGTCTGCGATTATTAAATCCTCCTTTTCCTTGACTTACCTTATTGTAAATACTGGATTTCAAATCTCCATTTATTTTCACATATATGTAGTTTATGTCACCATTATTGATAATACTTCGTTCTGACTGAAGGTTGTTTGCAGCTGATGAAGGGCTGCGAAGTAAGATGAGCTCATTTTACTCTGCACATGTCTTTGTTCTCACACTGTTTAAAATTGTCAAGGTAATTAAAGGTATGAAAATTGTTGTCTAGTTTTTGTATTTATCATTCACTATAGAGACTGGATAATGATTAGACAGATAAACAGATAAAATTAACGGAGAACCTCTGACAGAAGGGAGTCAGTTCGAGTAGCCGCACTTCACAGTAGTATGCAAAGAACAGGTAGTTTGAGAAAGAGTGGTATCAAAGTAGACAATACAAATACCAAAATAATGGACTTGCCTTCACAGTTAGTTGATCTAGTCATTGTGACAACAAAACGTGTTATCTTTACTCCTACTCAGTCGCATACAAATTGATTGTGCAGCGTAATAACTTCAAAAGTAAAAATTGAAACCTATTCAGAATATCGTAAATTATGAGATGATGAATGATTTTCATGGTTTTGCCTTTAATGAGCTAGATAGTTTGGTCGTGAAGCCCTCATTGTCATTCTAGACAACAGTGTCAGCACAAACTTCAGGAAGAAGTGAGCTACTTGGGAGTTTTTTCTTTGGAAAACAGCTCCTAATAGCTTACTTCTTCCTGAGGATGTTGTCTAGAATGACAATGAAAGCTTCGTGATTAAACCATATAGCTCAGAGAACAAAACACCATCAAGACTGTTATTTACTCCCCAAATGACAGTTTTACAGTAAAGAAATGAAATAAATTTAGTCGTAAAGATTATTGTCAGTCAACAAGTAATCTACTACTGTTTGTCCTTTCATTCTGGATGAAATAACTTGGAAAAGTTATGACACTGACCTAAGAAGAAAAACTCAGTATACACTGAAAGTGGTATGAAAATTTAAACTCATCAAGAGGACCGTATTTTACGCTACGCTATGAACTATACTCTGATTAAAAGACTGTAAGGTGTCCGGACTCGAACCAGGAACCCACCGGTTTTCGACCATTTAAAATGTCCTGGCTTGGTAAATAGACCTCATGGTGAATACAAAAATAAGGATATTCTTTTGAAAAGATAACAATAGTAAAAGTTATTACTATTTATTGACATACTTGTTATTCTTCTTTGTTTGTTTTGTTGGATCGAATTATTCGACCTCTATTGGCATATGAGCTCCTATGCGGATGCCTCGATATTGCCTGAATGTTAATTATGATAATTTGGTTGGTTGTGGCGAGCAGAAGAAATAATAACAAGTACGTCAATAAATAGCAATAACTATCATCCGTTGTACAAGAAGTGGCTATCGTTCCTCTGTGCCACAGTGGATAACGCCTTGGCGTTTGAAGCGATGGGTAAGGGATTCGAGTCTCAGTGGGAGGAACATCACTGGGGTGTTGGTACATCCAGCTGACGAATCCCAAATAAGGTAAAACGCGCGTCCTGGATTCTTCTGCTAGCCACAACCAACCAAATTATCATAATAGTAAAAATAATCACGATCATGGCAAAAACAAAATTCACAAATTTACCGGTAATTGTTGTTCTGTAATAGGATCAGATAACTGAAGATTAACGAGCTCATTTCTTAGAATTTGTCTATCGTATGGATTTGTAATTCCACAAGCATTGAGTTCTTCTGGTGTAGTGTGACATAATGTCCATAAATCGAAGCCGGCTTTAGATAAACATCCACTTAGTCTAAACATAAAATTAAGAGGGAAAAATGTACAAAATGTGAAGATTTGCATAAACTCCAGTTATAAATATCAATGCTGAAGAGACAATGAGAAAGGTATTCAAGTCAATGATCTGCTTACTTGGATTCCGGGGTGTGACATATGAAGACTGAAATTACAGACGGTCGGTGAATTATTTTATTCAGTAGCGTTTATTGACTGAGGTTAGATAATTAAAACACCATTACTGATATTCATTGGCAAGTTGATCACTTAAAATCTTGGTCGACAAGAAGCAATGGTGTCAGTCTCAACAATAATAGGAATGGGTGAATCGCTAGTACAGCTTTCAGAAAATTAGAAACTGAGGCGTATGCTTTGCTTGAATCGTAATAAACCATTTAATTCATATTAATAAAAGTTACCAATGACACTAAGCAAATTATAGCCATCTTCAATAGTACAATTTATAAGTAGTGAATTTATATATAACTTCACGTGATAAAGAAGGCTTGTTGATTCATTCATAAGAGATCATACTGTTTAGACAACATGAAATTGGTTGCTATCTAGTGGTCAATCAATGTGAAGGTGTTTCTATCCTGAAATGGCTTATCTCCTCGTAAAACATGTAATAGTTTTGTTAAATAAAATCCCATAAATGATAGATGAGATTTGTCATAGAAACAAAATGAAATAAAAACCGATCACTTATCAGACTCTAAGAGGTTGCCACTATATCACTCACTACCTAATTGACCCAAGTGCTAACCGTATTTCAGGAAATGCTAAGTCCTATAGCTAAGATTACCGATGAAAACGTATTCCTTTTGTACAAGGATGTCAAACGTGTATCTTCTAAGATAGCTTTAGATTTTAGCACGTGGTAATTGAGTAGCTTACATCTAAGACTCCAGTTATCCACAAGTAGAAGACAATTTAGCCCGGGATACCTGGAGATACTTCTTAAGTATAGTGCTTAAACATTCTTGTTAACTTCAAACATCCATTTAAATCTTTAGTTCTCTCATGAAATGAGTTGCATACTGTGACGAATAGTCGTACGTATCAGATAAATGGAGGACAAAAGTGAACTGTTGTTGCTCATTTTAAAGCTAAGTGAATATTTACTGGGTATAGGGAGTATCATTATCATCGGGGTGACCGTAACAACCTGTTTTTTACATTTGGTTTCCTAAGTATTGATACTCTGACATTTCATACTTGTTAATACCTATCACCGTTAATAAATGAAATCTGAATTCATCCGGCTCAGAGACTAGAAGGTAGCAAAACTACCTTCTGTCCATTACTTTTCTGTGGCGAATGACAGTGAAGACCATTTGATAACTTATCTGTGTGCATAATCAAGTTCTGAAAGAAGAAATAGGTAAAAATATGCATCAACCATATAAGTAAACTAGAACCTAAGAAAAAAACTAAGTTCATCTCGATTGTAAGTGCATTCTAATGAGTGTACAGTAGCTCAAAACTCTCATTTCACAATTACTAGACCATGAGGTGATGTAACTTAGTCCAGTCCTCATACTACACAGTATCATTGATAAACGTCTGCCAGACATGGATAAAATAATCAGAAACTGATGTATCAATTAAACGTGGGTTAAAATAACTAATGAATGAATACAGCTGCTAGAATGCCACTATTGTAAATATTAAAGCATAATAAAAGTATCTGTTGGCATATGGGCTCCTGCGCAAATGCCCAATATTGCCTATGTTTCAGTTATGTATTACTGATGGATAGTGGTTAGCAGGGGAATCCAGGACGCGTGTTTCGTCCTGTTTGGAACTCGTCAGCTAGATGTGCCAGCCCCAGAGACCTATCATTTCGGTCCAGTCAGCGACGGAATAATACAAGCAACAACATTAAATCTATACCTATCGCAAGGAGCGGTTATCATGGCTCGGTGTCTAGTGGATAATTATCTGGCGCTTGAAATGGTCAGTCTCGAGTTAGAGTCCTAGTGGGAACAACACCGCTAACTAGGAGGAACGTAAATCCAGCTGATGAGTGAGTCCCGAATAGGACGAGATGCACGTCCTGGGTTCCACTGCTAACCACTATCCATCATTAATGTGACAAAAGTTGTCAGTGCAAAAGTTAGCAATGTTCTTTCTTGTAGCTGCCTATTCTTCTGGTTCTGCAACACCTTCTTCCTTTCTGTATTCCTCCTAGTAGATCTGTGCTCTTTTATTATCGGAACGCTTCCCAGTTTACCGTCTGCTCTAGTGACTTCTACCAAAGACACGGAAATTCATACTATTTAAACTCATCCTAATCAACGACACACTGTACACATATATTTCTAAAGGTGATTTTCATTTCAGGTTGATATTAGCTGTGGAAACACTGAACAGCTAATTCATCTTTGTTTGGGATCTCACAGCAGTGTCGAATCATAACTATGTGAGAGTTTAAGGACAAATCAGCAACTCTTGTGGTAACCATGTTACTATTAAACAAGTGGGTTTAAATTCAAAAGTCCAGTTTTTTCTCATTTCTACTAATTCATGATGGAGCACTACCATCATTAAATGGCATCAGTACACATCCATCCCCGATCTCAACTTGGTTCATCCCACAGATAAATAACGATCATGGGATCCTACAAAATGAATAACGGATGATAACGGACATTTATCTTTGATCTCTCTGTAATTAAATGTTGAGCTATTGAGCTCAGAATGTGCCAGGGTAAGTCGAAAATTCCATAGAAATATAGAGTTATACTCACCTACTTAAACCAACTGAGCGCAGCCATGCAAAAAGTGCTTCATCATCAGGATTTATCATAACAGAGTGGATTGGCAGATGCTGTTGATAAGGTTGACACATTTCTCGGTACGATTGTTGCTGCCGATAATACTGCTGTACTCCGGATGGAAACTGTTGTTGAGTAATAGCAGTTACTGGAATTCTTGTTTGCACACAGTCGAATCCAGTGCAATTTCTTTCTTGACAAGGTGAATATGCGGATAGAAGTGGCTTCTGCTGTTGCTGTAGTTTACTATGATTAACAGCACTGTAGTGGTAGGATGGGAAATTATGATACTCATACGGTTCAGTGATTGATGATATAGAACTTAAAACACCTACATTTATAGCAGTATTACCAATGCTATTACTGTTGTATTTATGTACTGGCGATGTTAACGTATCGTCTTTATTCGATTGCTGATGACATAATTGTTGATATGCAAGATTGGTGCTACTACCATTAACACCACATCTACCATTACCACCGTTGCTGCTGCTACTGTGATTACTACTATTAACATTGTGAGTAGTAGAGCTAGTATGATTATAAAATTGTGGCATCGTTGCCACTGGTAATAAAGTATGATCGAATGATGCACGGCCACTAGAATTATGATTGATTTTACGTCCAGATAAAATGTCGCTCTTTGATGTTTGGTTGCTATAGCAGCATGATGAAGTGGTTGAAAGAAGGCAACCATCATCAAGATATGTCTGAGGATACTGGACCTTAGAAAAAAGATACATCATAATTTGTACAAATGTAGGAAATAATTAACGTGTGATAAATCAAAAAAATTTGTATTGATGACAAGTCTAACAAGTTGAGAATCACTGGTTAGACGAAGGATTTCAGTATGATGACTGGCGTGATCAAATGATTTATACATTGCACTACCCACATTGAAACTTCCCATAGTTGAGTAGTTTTTCATCTGCCCAACTGTGGTGGCAACAAGGTTGTCACTGGAGACTACTCAGCCGAGATTACAGCGTGTGATCTCTGTCACAGAAGTGTCATGATCTAGCCAAAGATACTACTACCGAATAACTTGAGTGGTTAGAAACCACTTGGGCTGATGTGTAGCATTCTGCCAACCAGATCAGAATGATTTAAAAATGACAAAGGTTTCGATCGTTTCGGGCCGAGCTTATCCGCAGTGTATTCAGACACATTCAGCTCGCAGAGATCTCACTTGAGTGGTTTCCAACGGAAATCGTTATGGCACCACAGTTAGGAAGTTGAATAACTACTCAGCTGTGAAAGTTTCAACGTGGATAGTGCAATGTGTAAAGCATCTGGGAATTGATCATCCTATTTTAAGTATGCCGGTTCATGCAAGTTGGCTGACCAAATTCAGGTAATTAGAACTAAATCGGCTGTATGAGCTGAATTAGCCCGGTACACCACGAATGAGCTCTGCCCTAAACGAGCTACGTATTGATGTCTGCCCCGAAATTCGAATCCACACCACCCGGTACAGCAGCCAGAAGAGTTGTCATCGAGTTACTTGGATCATGACTGACCTCACGTAGAGCTTCCTGAAAATTGCCTCCATCCAACCTACATTTAACCAAGTAAACCGAAGTGGTGAATCTCCTGGCTTGGTGACTACTTTGCAAAATGATAGATGAAATTAAATAAGTCCTTAGGGTAGCATGGAATTCGTTACTCTTCAGTAACGAGTCTTTACGTGATTTGATAGTAGCTGAAATGGGAAAAACTGCGTTACTAACTGGCCCAGTGCGGCTTATCGGTGCAATGAGTGACGAGTTCACACTCACTTTCATGGACTCTATTCTGAACAACTGGATATTATTACAAGACAAACAAAATCAACCTAGAACCACACATAGAAGTGTATCGGTTCAACTTACTACACTTCACAGTAGTACACAAAGAATAGGTGGATAGTAAAAGAGTGATATAAAAGTAGACAAAGTTGTGTGAGACAATAAACAATCTGAAGATGATGATTAGCTCAAATATTCAAGTTTAGAAGACGCCAAGGAGTGGATACATCTGTACCACTGTGACCAAATTTCAGCATTTTCACCAAATCCTCTACTATTGATTCATCTCATCTCAAGGACCCCTAACCAAACAGTCTGTGCTTCCCCACTCAGCTCAGACCAACGATCAGGGACTTCATTCACTGTTGCGACGTCTTGGTCTGAAACCCTATTCCAAACTTATCCAGCTTCCTATAGCGTGTCGCGTTGAGTTAGGAGCTGGATCGGCATCTCAGTTGACTAAGGTCCACAATCTCATCAATCGACTTGCCTGTCTCACCTAGTGCCCTTCACCAAACGCCAGCAATACTACGAAGATATCTTTGATCTAAACCCTGTAACCACCTCATATCTTCTACTTTAACGGTCATGTCTCACAGCCGTATAGCGAAAAGAACTGTACTGCAGTATACTCACCCTTTGATAGATACCTAGATATATCACTAGTCACCTCCATAAGCGAGACAAGTTGGCAAATACCAAACGGGTCTTCTGTATCGAAGATGAGATTTCGTCAGCAACCAGCCCGTTTCAGCTGATGAAACTCCCCAAGTAAGTGAAATGGTCGACATATTCCACCACTTCACTCACTATCACTAAAGTAGGGGTAGTTGCAGACCAGTTCTGGAACATCATCTTATATCTGACAGGTGTGAAATGCAGGCCAAACATACTCAAATTTCTGCTCATTGCGTCCAGAACACCCTGCATTTTGTCAGCGTCTATGCGTATTATATAGCATTACAAACCTGTGGACATTACGTCTATCTCATAGCAAGATACAGAAACTTTCACAAGCTCCCACTGTTATTGTCTTGTTGTTGACTAATCCAGTTGAACAAGTTTATAGCTGAAAAACGCTTTTAATTATTCTTTAGGCGTAAGTTAATTTAAACTGTCCAACCAAATATTTAACTGAATTCAGTCTCTTGAAAGCGTCAAGCTTCTGTCTGAAAATAAAAATTGTATACTAGAATAACTATTTTCTTCATTGTTTAACCAATAGTTTAGCGATGCTATTTAATTGATTATTGACCAGGATACAATTCAAGATGAGCATAAACTTCGACCTAAAACTTCTCACTTCAACTCAACATATACACAAATAAGATTACAAAAAATTGGAAAATAAACGACCTAACTCAAATGCAAGTTTATTGTTCATAATATGTTGGAATACCAACCTACAAAACAATCAACTGTCTCCCTTCCCCTGTCATTTGCACACACACGATAAAATATCATATGACATAGAAGTGATTCTGAGCAAAATCATAACTGAAAGGCATGTTTTGACGCAGACCATAAATTTATAGGTTACAGATTGCTTCCTTTTTCCACTTATCTAACTTCAAATTTAGATAAGTAGTTTAACTTGACATAGACTATCTGTACATATATATTCACCCCAGTTTACCTTCACCGCCTTATTGTCATCCCCTTGAGAGCATCTTCAGTTTAATAAATATAAACACCAGACAGATAAAAAGATGAACGAGATATAAGATCCAAGTACCACTTCAAATTGTTTCTATTCTTTAGACGAAATAATTCGATTTGAGACATTTAACGATAGACAACCAACAAACAGCATATGCTAATAGACTGACTGGTGGATTTTTCAGTTCAGACAACAAGCAGGTGATTAGATCAGGATATTATGGTAAATTCCAAGAGAGTTTAACATTGCACACTGATATCCATTGATAAATAGTAAAGGTTATAAGGTGATGATGATGGAGATTTACGAAGTATCCACAAATTTGAACAGTTCAAACTAACACTGCTTACAGTTAAGTAGTTTTCCAACTACTCGACTGTGGTGTTAACAAAGCCCCCTGTGAGAACGAACCAGTTAGCCAGTATCACAGACTACCTTCTGCCAGAGAAAATTTCTGTGCATTAACTCTAAATACTATTGTATAACTTGATTAGTTAAAAATTGCGTATCCTAATCAAAGTTGTCACTTCTAAGCACTGAAGGGTTGTTTCACTGGTTACGGATAAGTTCAGTATCGGTGAGACAGTTAATAGATTAGTCGCCTATGAGAAATATCAAAATGACCATGCGATTCCCAAATAACTTGTAAGTTGACTACCCAATTTATAGTATGCCGGTTCAATAAAGTCAGCTAATCACATTCACTTCATTCGGACATATGGGCTCCTACATGAGTCTAACGTATCCAGGTATACCGCTGATGAGTTTAGGCGCAGGGATGTGAAATATTGACCAGGTTTCCGGACCATTATGATATGGATAGAGTAGTTTGTATATCATACTGAGTACTTGATCACAGTTGTCACCGTATCACCTCTCATATGGAATTACCGTGTGAGCAATATTGAAGTCAGGCGAAGAGTACTAGCCAAGATAGGCAAGTAAGTTGATGAGGTTTCGAAACCTGGTCAGTTGAGGTGACTTGGACATTTATCGCGCACACCGAGCCACCCACCGACTAACTGGATGTGTCATACTAGTGGAAGTAGGATTATGTTGGAAGCGGGTTCAGGGTGGTGAGACCAAGACGTGACACTCGTCGACGAAGTCCCTGATGGTTGGTGTGAACCATGTGGGGTGATGTAGAGTTCCTGGTTTGGGTCCCTGAAACGAAAAGAACCAATGGTTGACGATTCTTGAGGACATGGCTGAAAGTCGATCGCAATGGCGCAGATATATTCACTCCTTGATATCTCATAAAGCTTGAATATTGGCAGTAACCTTCATCAGACTGTTTATTCTTCCACAATACTTTGTGTACTTTGATATCCACCTGTTCTCTATGTACTGCTGTGAAGTGTGGCAAGTTGAACCGAAACACTGGTGTACGTGGTCGTACATTGATTTCTGCAGCCAGTCAGCCACTTGAGATCTACTTATTTTGTGCAAGTGCTGAACAATTCTTCTGGTTTAGTCTGACACACCTGCAGCATTAGTACTCAGCGACAGCTCCTCTTTCAACACTGAACTGAATACCCCCAGGTTTTGCATTTGAATAACAGTGACACGGTAATGGATGATACTATCAATCTAAGCCGACAGCTGAGTCACAAGCACCTGTTGATCAAGTTTATATCTGTGCATGCATGGATTAAAAAACCTCAACTACTCATTTCCCGAATGACAGGCGCCACCTTGACATGGTGATCAGGTCTGTAATATCACAATGGCCCAATGGGCTACACTAGCAGAAAGGCATGTTATCTCGAGGTCCTACCATGCCAGAAAAGTCTGTTGGATGGTGGTAAGACAAAAAGCAGTTAGCATTGTAGTATAAATTACTACATTATGATAGGGTTCTGAAGACAACGTCGTAGTGCTGCTGGCTGGATGGGGTGTGGTAGGAGTAAGGTGTTCCCCTTAGATGACCAGCAGTGTCACACTGACGCTGCCTCCCCTATGGGGAGCGGGGTTAGAAAAAGTCGGCCTCGATAAAGCTCACTCCCCCCCCCCACTACGGCATACCGATACGTGACAAGGATTCATAGCCGGATTCTAAAGTAAAAGAATCACAATCTCAAACTTTAAATAAGATCGTGTGTGACCAGCTTTAAGTAGTTGTCACGCATTATAACTTCGTTTTAAGGTTCCTCAAGAATACCTATCCTTCCAAAGTGCTGGCAACCAGAAAGTGTCAACCGCCCACACGCTCGCAGTATTAAAAAAATACCGATTTCAGCTTCACATTGACTAAAAGTGAAGGCTAACCGTAATAATAAATGTAGCAGGAGCTCAGTAGCATACTATTTGAATCAAACACTAAATAACATCCAGGACACTGTGGATTAATACGTTTCGTCAGTAGATGCGCTTACTGATGAATGTCGACATGTTTCAAAACTATCTTAATCATATCCTTTCGCCATGTTCACCCAAACATTTAGTGTAAATCCAAGCTCAGTGTATTTCACATTATCAATGGATTACTAGAAGCAGCATATCATGAGTCATGAAGGATTGGAAACGATAACAATTGAGCTAACTATGGTTCATCATTCTGTAGCCTCAATCTAATGCTTGTCTGATATTTATACGTAATAGCAATCGACTTTTGAATAAAACAACCAGTTTAGTAAGTAGGGCATATTCAAGTAAACAGTTTTCAAGAGAATGAATGCATACGACAGCTTTTTTTCAGCCGATCTTTATCCCATCATACTTTCATAGACGGAGAACAACACCATCCAAAGTATTTCTATGAGGTCTACAGAAGAATCGATTATTTCAGTTATTGAATTTACCCAAATTCACATCTTAAATCATAATCACACACAACAACCATAAGATGATAATTTAGGATAAGGAACTAAGAATTACTAATTTCAGATTCTCTAGTTCCCAAAAGTCAAGATAAGTTAAGAAATGGCACATATGTAATAACATATTGACTATCTGAGATAACCGTCGTTTGTCAGACTTATATTTACACTGGGTGATGACTGAAGGTGAGATGAAATTTTGACTGAAGTAAGATTAAAGCCAGCTACCACAGGTTTCCCGGCCGGTGCTCTACCAAATGAGCTATGAGATCCGGCTGCTAACCAGATATTTATTTAGATCCAGTCCCAAGGGTTTCGCTCGATCGTCACGTCGCTAGTTCGAACCCTGCCGTAGCTCATATTTTCATTTCATCTTCAGTCAGTTGAGCAAAGTGCTTGCTGACTGAAGAGAAATATAAGTTCGATCAGCAGTTGGGTCTGGTAGATCAGTTGGTAGAATACCGGGCCGGCAACCCGGTGGTCGCTGGTTGGAATCCTACCGTGGTCCATATATTCATTTTACCTTCAATCACCACCCAGTAACATTGATCATAAACTTCGATTTGAACAGTTCAGTGTAGGAAATAGAGTACAGATGAACAGATAAATCAAAGCTGAACTTTGAACAAAAGTGCTTGATTTCCGGCTGATACACTTAACAACTATGTACAATACGAAAATGATATTTGAGTAAAAAAAACTGTACAATAGGAGAAAGAATAAATTGGGGTAAGTAGAAGTGTTCAAAGTTCAGAAGACGAAAAAAATGGATATACGTGTACCACTGTCATACACTTTGGGCCGTATGACCGTGAGTCTCTCAAGGACACCAAACAGATAATCTACAACTCCCTAGACGACGCTAACAAACATTTAAGAACTTCTGTACCCCAGCTAACCATAACAGCTTTACTTCCTTAGAATAACACTACAAATTAGTTCTTTGGTGCACAATACAGCTTACAGATAGGATTCATCATATCAATAAATCAATTGGGAATTATTTGTTAAAAGGTTGAGTATTTCTGTCCCAATTTGCGTGTACACAATACTCAGTTTACGATTCAGCGTAAGTAGTGTTCATTTTAAATGAAAAAGAAATATAAGAAACGATTAGGATTGACCTTTCTAAAAGATCATGACCTATTTAAAACCAACCACTTATTCAAAAAGAAACTTATGAATTAATTTTCCTATCTAGCTATCAGTAAGCGTGTAAAATTGCACATACATACATACGCACACATGAAAAGATACACGAAAATACAATGTCATTCTTCGAATGAGGTTAGAAGGTGAAAACTTGATTTTAAAGGAAACAACACCGAAATTCTTCAGAAATAAATCATCGACTGGTGAATTACTTTATTGTCAAAGACATATGTTCTTCATATTAAAGAATTTATTTTCAGGGACAGTATTTTTAAGCTTCTTCACAAAGAACCCTTAACACGATTAGACAAAGAAGAGAATAAAGAATACGTGATTCGAGACTAGATGTCAATTGTTGAACTCATCGAGTGTTGATTCAAATTTTGCCAAAGCAATTACAGACTACCTTACATAGTTATTTTTTTAAAACAGTGTAGACTCGATCGACTACGGAGATCAAAGTAGACCGACAAGGCATATTACCCAGGTTTTTCAACCAGCAGTTCTAGGGACCCCAACTAGGAAGTCCATATTTGTACGAATGGTTCAGATGAACGGTCAGAAACTTCATGAGTCGATAGTCTTCAATTCTTTCTGAAGCATAATCTTATTTCACCCGACATTTCATGTCAATGAAAATGATATCTCAGAAATACGTAAGATCTTTCTTAACTATCTTAATCTATAACAGTTTACAGCCTGACTAACCTCTACTGTTTTCTTGTCGGTTCCATAACATATAGTTCACACCAGAAAAGGGACAGTGGTGTAACATCTACAGCCTTCTAATATTCTATGATAATCCATCATGGTCAAACAGTAGGTCAGAGAGAATTGATGCATAGTACACTTGATCCATAGTACATGACTGGATGATTAACCACTGTTACGAGCGACAATTATCCGATTTCACTAAATATTGTGTCAGCACCTATCAAACCTTATAATAATAGCCGGGGTGTACTTTTTGACAAATATCAATATGAAGAAATGCACATTCTGAATTCCATTGCTAGCTACAACTAAACAGAATCCGTATTCATATAATGAATACATTATATTGATAAGTGTAAAACTTAGACACTGTGGCAGAATGTAATTCCATATTACATTTGTTTATTTGATACAGTGTTATTTACTTGATGATGTTTCAAGTATAATTTATTGATCGAAATCATATCAATATATTCACACAACTTTCGAAATCTGATTTTTATAGTCATGTTTTTATTGGTAGTAAAGTTTCCCTTATCTTTGGTATAGGTGTTGCGTCATTCCTACCATATGTGTTGGGTGTAGATTCGATGAACAAAACTTCAGTAATCTCTCCCCCCCCCCACCTAATTATATTGGACTTGAGTACAGTGATTCCACCCCATTCCATTGTTTAGTCGTGTGTTAATGCATGCATTACAGCAGCAGAGTGTTGTTCTAGATTACTGATCTGATTGAGGTCTGTCATTCTATATTTATCTAAATTTCTATATTCGGCTATTCTAACTGACCCCAGCCGGTTAGTCTGACCTATATACTTGACCTCGCAGTTACTGCATGAAATCCGGTAGATGATATTATTCTGCTTAATTGGATGTATCGGATCCTGAAGCCGACAAAGCTTATCTCTGAGTAAGTTTATGGGCCTAAATCTCACCCTTATTCCAGCTTTGTTGAGGATCCCACGTAAAGTTTCTGAGGTACCTTCCTTATAGAGGAACATAATGGAGGCTGTGAACTCCTTTTTACTCGTGTTGTCGTTATAAGTCGTACTCATGTTACTGTTACTATTTCGTTTCTTGTGTGTTTGTACGAATTTGTTAATAAATCGTGGAGGATAATTATTAACCATTAGTGCTTCTTTTAAGTGTTTCAATTCCTTGTTTAGGTCCTTGCACTGACTAGTCAGTTTTCGAGCTTTATTATTTAGACACGACTAAACCTGCTTTAAATGATGTTGGATGAGATCATCTGAAGTCTAGATACCTATTGGAATGTGTCGGTTTTCTGTAGACAGTAGTATCCAAACCACTGTCCTTCTTGTCCTGCCATCCGTATTCGACCATATGTAACACGGTGGTATTAGAACAAGCAGCACAAATGTTACCAGGATAATGAATTGAATCTTGCAAATTACTAAAGAGAATGATCGAAAATCCCAGTTACAATGAATACCTATTTAACATATAGTCATTTTAGTCCCTTTATACTCTGGTGAATATAGATTCGGCGTCTGTTCACTGACTGCTTACCTTCATTGGTACAAAGAAACAGATGAATGTATATCCGGCTGATGGATACTAAATGAAACAAACTGCCTGAATTCCACTGCGTACCCCTATCGAATGTAATTCTAATGGTGATACTCATTTCATCTATATAAAATGATGTCGACATATAATGACTTCACTTTTGAACACGAATGACTTTTTTCTGAGCTACCGCATTTTAAAACTGTCAGAACCACTTAATACGAACAACTTTAATAGCAATCAACCAAACGATAGAAAATACAGACACTTACTCCACTGCTGCCTTCACTGCCTGTAGCATACGTCGAATCACGACCACTGTCTAAACTGGCTGAACTATTACGCTTGTCACAATCAGTTAGATAAACGCCATGCTTATTCGAAGTTCTGGTCGGTGAATTACAACACACCTGTTGTGAACAGGGTTTTGTAACACTAGTAGACTTTTGTATTTGTGGATTTTCCAACATGTGTCCACATCTGTCTGCTGAAGCTGAAGCCAGATTGACTTCACAGTTTTTTCCATTCGATGAAATATACTGTGAAGCATTATTTTCTTTCTCTTTCATCATAATAGATCCCATTGTTGGACATTGTATTCCTAAGGAGGAATTCCTGGTGGATAATTTTGAAGATGGTATCACATTTGAATCAAAACTGGAATAATTTATTTCCGACTCATCAGAGCCTTCTGTTTCACTAGAATATTCAGATGCTGAATCTGTCTGAACCTATACAATTAACAGAATAACATAGATGGATAATTTGTGATACACTGAAAAAGTCAGTTGGACAGTGTTTTCTGTCCAATAAAGTTTTATATCACTTTTACATTATGAACTTTTAAATAAAGAAAAAAAGTATCATAGTAAATCCAAATGAATGACAGACGATTTATCATGATTTTAGTTTGAGGGTTTGTGTGGGGATTCATTGATTTCAAGTTGGTATTCATCACTTGGAGAAACATTGGAAACCTTGGAGCACTGGACAGCTGTTTTGTTGTAGTATGGGACTCCTCAGTAGTGTACCAGAGATTGGACCCAGACCTTCAGGTTCCGCTACCAGCATTTTACCGTTAAGATACTGGATAGGATTCCAATGGTTCTCTTTTTTTTATTTCTGGATATTAGATAACTCGAGTTTAATATCAAGGGAACTCGAATGTTAACATGAACCGGTTATTTCTGAGCAGTAATTCAAGTTAATGTACGTCATATCAGCAAGAATGCATCAGATAAACTAGCCGCCAAGCTAAATTGCTTTCCTTCTCTGAATACAGTCTGTATTCTCCATCTCATCTTACACTGTATTTAAGTAACTGCTAACATACTAACTGATTCTTCAGTTTTTCGTGGTTGACTTCACTACGCTACTGAACTCTGAAAGTACATCACGGAAATAAAACCAGGTTCACATAATCTAAATCATTATTCGATAAATCGAAACGTATACATGAAGAATCCATCAATATTTAGATTTGCAAAGCACTGGTATTCCACGATAGTCTGCTGTAAACTGTGTTGTTGTGCCAATTTTGTTCACTTGAGTTACTTAAAAGGTCACTCTAAAAACTAATGAGATTAGAAGAAGACGTATAACCGTGTACAACATTGGTTCCAGTTAGCTTTCATTGGGCTTTACGCTAATATACCTAAATTTCCTGAGACTGAGTGATAATTGAAGGTGAGATGGAGATGTAGACCGCGGTGGGATTCGAACCAGAGCCCATCAAGTTTGTGGCCCAATGCTCTACCGCTTGAGCTACAAGGCCCCACTGCCGACCAGATTTTTATTTCCCTTCAATCGCTATGGCTTTTACCCAACTAACATGCAAATTCATGACCCGTTACTACTGCTTGATCGTACTAATACGGTTGTCTAGTCAGGACTTCTCATCGAGGTCCAAATCGAACTGAATCAGAGAGGTGAAGCATCATATTGTCTATCGTTTTGATTTCAGTCACCAAGGGTTTTGTTCTACTTCCACGTTGCTAGTTCGAATCCTGCCGTGGTCCAAATTTTTGTTTCACCTTCAGTCATCGCCTAGTATCAATACTAGTTACCAAACCATGGATACCTCAGACAGTCAAAAGGATAATAAATTTTCTTATCTATAAAATACTACACCAATCATAGTGGATTTTTTTGCCTGTGGTAACAATGAAGTGAGCATGCAAATAGGGGATACCTCGATGATAGTGATAGTTATCTCAGTAATGATATGAATTATGAGAACAACGTGGTACTGCAGACATCTGGATAGTCGATGTAGGCCATCCGAAAAGAAAAGGACAAGTGAAGTCAATATGAAATTCAATTCTGTCTCAATTGGTCGATAGTGGTTTTGTAAAAGATGAAACGAAAACGTTCACAATCATCTATTGCATTCCACAGAATCTTTTGCAGGGAATTCGTACTCGCATATGACATCTAGCTAAGGCTATGAGAATTAGAGAAAACGACCTTAGTCCATGTGTTCAGAAAACGGTTGTGTAGATGTTATCTTTGCCTTGGCCAGAGAAAACGTTAAAGATGAATTCAATTTTCATGCTCTTCCCTTTCACACATATACTTGTGTGCTAATACTTTGATTACCTACACGCTTCATCCCTTAGGGTTACGTAACCTTTGTCATACTAAGTTCTGACCTACATTGGTTGTCTAAATGTCTACATTACCATGCTGTTCCCACTATTTTTACCATCACTGAGAAAATTATTATTATATTAGCATAAAGCCTGATGAAAGCTAATTGAAAACAATATTGTTCTTTTTTTTGTCTTCGAATTTTGACAGTGGGAATCGTTACTTACTGAGATGACCGATTACGCTTCTCCATTTTATCGTAAGCCAACTTCACTGCCGAAATACCGAGACCTAATTGATCATTTCAGCAGTTGGAAGTTAGCCTTTAAAGTCACTGGTTTATTCCAACTGATCACAAAGAGGTAAAATGGAACGTCAATTTTGTTGTTATAATGAATCATTCTGATTGGTATAAATTATTATCTGCATCATGATAGTGTACATTCAACGACAGAAAATACTTTTTCATCTTTAGATCTTCACCAACGTACCTCAGTATACAACAGTTTTTGTGCAATCCTATCACTGAATAGTATGCAATCACTTTGAACACAAACCTATATACTAATCGAATGCTAAAGGCCGGCTTTAGACGGATAAAACTCCGAGTGTTTCGAAAGGTTACTCGATAGTTGAATAAGCTACTTGGAAGCCATCACGAAAGGCAATACAACATTGATAATTTTTTTACCATAAAGAAACTATTTCGTTAGTTATGCACTCCTTTTGGAACCGGCATGTCTAACAGTTGAGAAATTGAACTGATTTGTAAATGTCTACTAGTAAGTAGTCCATCTTTTAACTTTATTAACATTGAACTTCACAGCTTCCATATTTTGACCTTTTACGAATCGTATACATAATGTTTCTGTGTGTGTGTGTGTGCGTACTTGGATAACTTGTACAACAAATGAACAAATCACTGAGAGCTTTGTCTGGATTTCATTTGTGTCTAGATTATGGACAAGCAGTATGTTGTATTAAAATTCCAAAATCATTTTTACGTGTTACATATTGACACACACACACACACACACACACACACACACACATGTACAAATGAAACAACATACTCGAGTTTTTTTCTAGTCTACGAACAATTTATTTTCCGTTCAATATCCACCACTCTATAACCTTCTAACAACTGATAAAATGTGTAAATGGTAATCGTAGATAAGGGGATAATGATAAAAATCTGATGCTACATCTTATTGCTTTGCTTATTGTATTTTTGAATAAAGTAAAAACTAACAATTCAAGTACACACCAGTTAAATATGTTTAAATATACTCTATTAATTTTCGGTAGAGGATAAATGGCAAACCGCTAAACTATTCATATACAGTCCAAAATAATGGTGTCCTATTAGTAGTCTAAACAGATACTGAATGATCGAGTAACGTGTACCTTACCTATACCCAAAATCATTGAAAAAAGCGCTACAATAAGAAGTACAGCGATAGGATACTCCTATACAAACTATCAGTAACGAAAGATAATGGCTAACAGTGTAATCCGAAGAGCATGCATCTTCCAGTTTCTGACTCATCAACTGGATATGCCTGCCTCCCAGTGAGTGATATTGTTCCCAGTCAGTCTCGGACCCAGAACCAATCGCTTCAAATCTCAGCGTTACCCACTGAGTCTCAGTAGCTGCACCTTTTACAATGGGTGTAGATTTTATGTTACAGCCTGTAATTTAAAGTCAGTGGAAAAAATATGTAACAAAGAATAAAGACGATATGGTATCAAGTAGTAGGGTGTTCCAAGTTGTTCTAAGGTTGCAAGTAGTCTATCAACAGTTGAAGTGTGGATTTGTGACCCATTGGTCTAGAGAGTTTACTATCAACCAGTTGGCCAGGGGTTTGAACATCCAGGCAGTATGATTAGCCCTGACACAATGTGTGGCTCATTGCCTACTGCATGAATGCGTACAAGGTTACTGAGAGGGTTTTGTTTCGAAACACTTGAAGACAAATTAGATTTTAAGCTTCCTAGAATCCATCATAAAAGCGCACTGAATACCTTGAAGGAAGTTATGGTGGAGCCGTAACTACTTACTGATTTAGTACTTGAATTTCATCACTGTGTCATGCATTCTACCGCTGATCAATCTACCGAAGTTCGAAGTTAGGAAGTATTATTATCCCTCATTCAGTATGTAGGACGCACTGCCTAGCTCACTGTCGAAGGTGCCAACTAGAAAGTAGTGGAGAAACTTACTATCTGTCCAAGATTTAGATTATATTATTAAGTGACGCAATAAAAGACACAAGTGCTAAGTTATTCCTGCTGTGAATAAACCCTATGTTGAATAATATGGTGCATACACATTGGATAGAACGGCATCAATAGTTAAAAATAAGTTATCAATGTATACAACACCGTCCGTAAGGAGGTTATTTATTATTTAAATACCTCAGTGTCAGACAGGAACACTGGATGAAACGGTTTGAGTCTACAAGTTAAAGTACGCTTCTTCAAAGCCGCATATATACATTTCAGTTGACTATGACCAATTACGTGATTTGATTTAGGCAGGATATCCAAATGATTAACTCTAGACATTTCTTCACATAAAACAACGCAAGTATTTGATATATTTTTTATGTGAATACCATCTTTCATCCTTGGTCTCAGTTTATTCTCATGTTCTTAGACTAGAAAGAATATCGATACTGACGTGAATCTACGATATTTCCCTTGAAAAATAAAGCAACTAAACTATGATATTCTAGCCAATCAAAACCGAGTTCCTTCCATATCAATTTTTCTGAAAGTGCCCTACCTTCCTTCTCCAACAGATATCTTCTGTAGAATGAATCACAATAAGACCTGACGATTCTCAATGACGTCATGCAAGTGTACAGCTGAGGAGTCCCCAACTAAACGAAAACAATTGCCCAGTGATCTCTGGGCCTCATTGGTTATCTAGACCATGTCAAACTGTGATAAAAGCGTTTCTGATCTCATAAAAGCCAGCCAGCCAGACAGACAATATCAGTGCAGAACCGGAAGTTACTGGTCAACAGTCCAAGTCACCACACCTCATATCACCAAATCGAGCGGGGATGCACCCAAATGAAAGCAGTCACAGGTGGTAGAGGGTAACTAAAAGAGAGCGAAGACGGGTGAGACAATAATTAAATTTGATTTCTGTTGTCACGTCGATGGCAGGTAGGAAGTCTACGTTTCCTTATACAGTTCAAACCAAGACTTGAGGGACTATATATACTATGTGATTGGATAGACGGTGATTAGACATGTGTAACACACGTCACACCCGGTTGAATCCACTAACGTTTGCAACCTCATCGACTACCGTTCCTCTTGTGCCCAAAACTCTACACCTAACTTCTGCAGTACTTACATGGTGATGTCAGTACGACGCAGGGTCTATGCTACAAGGGCGACGGTGTTCTAACACCTGAAACCGAGCCTAATCCTCTTCTCTTAATAGTCAAGCTTCACAGCCATATGTAAGAACAAGGTGAACTGAAGCCCCGAAAAATCGACTCTCAGAAGGTAGCCGAATGTCATGTTGATCCATAAACGACGTATTTCGGAGAAAGCCAAACGAAAATTTTGCAGTTGTGCAGAGACTTCATCGGTAGTCGAACTACTAGGCGTGATGCAACTTTCCATGCACTCAGTCATTTCACTGCTTATTGTAAAACCCAACATTTCCACTTGTCAGATATGATAGCATTTTTAGAATCGATAAGAAAATAAATATGGTGAGTTTCATTATTTTTTTAATTCGATTATGGTGGCTTTCTTTTTAGATATCTGTAAAGTAGAGTTTTCTAACTACATTATGAACAGTAGGTGATAGAAATGTCAAACATGTATTGAAACAGTCAATCTAAACCGTATTCTTCTCCGACAAACTCTTCAGTAAATTTTATGATAGAATGAAACATCAGTAGACTCTGTCGTCAAAATTAATTGAAAGAAGAAGGTGAGCTTGCAATTTGTAGACAAATGAAAGAAGTCTATTGATCTCATAAGCCACTGCCAACTCGGCTGCCTGAAGCATGTGAGTTACAATAACTTACCACCCGACTAGTCAGAGTGATTCTTTTCTAAAAACAAGTCGTGTGTTGTAAAATAGGAGTAAACAGACGGCGGATATTTTCAACTCCTTTCGATAGATAGTCAGTGAAACCCTGAATTCATTTCCACCGATACCCAAATGAACAGAATAGCCTAATTTTTCAGCGTATTGGTGTGTTAAGTGTTTATTTACAAGTAGGAAAAACACTTGGGGTCAAATCATTTCAAGGACCTCACGCACGCACATATCCATCACATCTATGGTTTATATCTTTCAGTCTGTGTTTAAGATCAATTTTGCTCGTTCTGATCCTCTCAGCGGGTTTAAGACAAGCGTTTACTTCACAGTTTAATATTATAAGTGGTAGCATAATCAATAAGATACATCCTACCGTGCCCCCAGTGGCTTAATTGATAATGCTCTGGCGTTTGAAGCGAAGGGTACTGAGTTCGAGCCTCAAGGGTGACAAAATCACTCACTGGTTGACGAGTCCTACACAGAACGAAATGCACTACCTGGGTTCCTCTGCTAGTTACCAAGATTAAGATTCTAATTCTTCACAACCAATGAAAACCAAAAGTTTATGTATTCGATAATGAACGGTACCTACCGTTTAAGGGGAAACAGGAAACTACTTGACTATGCAGATTTTATCAGATACAGAAGAGTTGTATAGCGTGAACTACTGGATGTAAGTTCAGTGGTGAGTCATAGTTTTAACTGAATGAATTTTACTGAATACACACTACGCTGATAAGATAATCTGAACTGTCAAAAGCAAAATATTTGATATCCACGTGAATTCGCTTGCACCAAAACAGAAATAACCTTTTGCGACAACATTATTTCTTTGCCTGTGTTTTTTGATTTTCATATTCATAATATTACGACATTAAACATGTAATTAGGTATCGTAAAGCATGCAGTCAGCTTAACAAAGAGAACATATATACACGCACACATGATAAATCCGAAATGTACTGTTCGAGATAATCACAGAGATGATGATAAGTTATTTATCTGTGCACTTTTAGTTTTCGTCCCTCCTTTCGCTTGTCACATTTGCATCTCCTTCTCTCTCCCTCTTTTGCTTTTGTTCAATCTTTGAAGGGTGTGTGTTCACCTTATCGTTATGTACACATTTCCATGGAATTCACTAGACACTAATGTGTAACTTCAGGCAGTGCCAATCAGTAGTTGTAATCGACAAATAAAAGCAACAGATAGGTATTTTCAGCTTTTGTTTCTTGATCTACCGTTACCTTTTTTCTATATATATCGTATCGACACAGCACAAAGATGCATTCACGCCAACACATGCAATGTTCGCAAGTAGACACAGACACACTTAACAAAGAAGACAAATCTCTGAATATTATTACTTCACCTTTCCCAACTATCAGTTATTATTCATTTTAACGAAATGAAAACCGCTGCTACAATTTTTCTACTCCCTATTTTTATCTTGAAAATATTTTCCGGAGAAAAAATAAGAAAGAGAATAAAGTAATAGAAATTAGAATAATTTTACAAAATAAACACCATCTTCTTTGTATAAACTCATAAATACGGCTGTGAGACACGACCGTTCAAAGTAGAAGTGATTACGCAGTTTCGATCATAGGTATTTCGTGGTACTGCTCGCGTTTGGTGGAATCACTGTGTGAGCAATATTGAGTTCCGGCGAAGAGTACTAGCCAAGAATGCGAAGTCGATTGATGAGGTTGTGAAATCTAGTCGGCTGCGATGGTTTGGACTGCGCATGCCAAGCCACCCACCACCTGTCTCGACGCGCCATGCCAGGGGAAGTAGGATTAGATTGGAAGAGGGTTTGGGGTGGCGAGATCAAGACGTTATACCAGAAGATGAAGTCCCTGACTGTTGTTCTGAGTCAAGTGAGGAAATATAGAGTGTCTGGTTGGGGTCCTCGAGACGAGAGGACTCTTGGGGAAATATCTGAAAATCGGTCACAATAGAGCAGATGTGTTCACTCCTTAACATTTTCTAAAGCTTTAAAATTTACACTTACCGTTATCTGCAGATGGTTTATTCTTCCTCAATGCTTTTACTCCTTGGATATGACTTTCTTTTATCCACCTGTGTTTTGTATGCTACTGTGAAGTGTGGCAAGTTGAACCGATATACTTGTGTGCGAGGTTCCATGTTGATCTTGCCAGTCAGTCATTAGCTCCGTTGACGATAAAGACACACCCTGCTGACGAGTACAAGCAAGCACAAAACCCAGGGCAAACAGGACTTCGTGCCCATTCCTCCTCACTCAACTAACGTCAGAATCATCGGTAACTCTCTGTTGTTAGTCGTTGATATAATCAAGATTAGTTTTAGACTGAGACCAACAGAGGTGAGTATGATTCACAGACAAGGCTAAACAGATTGCTTTCATAATACTTCGACTTAATAAACAATTTAACGGAGAGGAGAATGACATGTCAACTAGCAGTTTATACTAGTGAACCTAACAACCTAAATAATGGTGGTAGTCACTTCCAGTTTATTCAATCAAGCCGGTAACCGTTGCTTAGCACGTCTAAGAAGAGTCCGTCGATGCTGTCTCCAAGATAATTTACGCCATACAAACAGCTGAATTTAAACATTTTTATTTTTGTTAATCAATGTGAATGAATAAGTTCATCTGTTCTTGTAGAATAGGTTGCCTTGGATGAGCTATTCAAACTATTTCTAGATATGTGAAAGAATAGTTAATGTATTGGATGAATAGAAAAGAAGCGAAAACTCACACTAGCTTTATATAGCTGCGTTTGATCGGGATCAAACATTCTCTAAATAAAAAATATGACTTCAATCCATTCCATAATTAGTCAAGATACAAGGTTCTTTTTTGAAATACCCTAGTAAACCTACATGAAATGAGATAGTTAACGAATGCGCAGTGTATGCCAGGCAATTACTGACTCCATATATATGAAAGACTGAAATGAGTAAAATAAAATCACAGAAAAAAATCGGCCATAACAGTGAGTTATCACTGGTTATCAACGGAACTTTTCATAACGAGGGAGACAAGTAATATAAATCAAAGAAAATAGAAAAAAAGTAAACTATACTTACAGCGATATCTCGTCTGATTTTCCCCACCTTCACTGGTTGCATAATTGCAAAAAATCAGCTAGTAGCCCAGTAGATTATTAGGTTCGAAGTTCAGTGAATACTTTGAAATTTTTACTAGAATGTGCACTTTTGAATGGAATCGGTGGGAGAATCAGTCGTAAATCCAATGGATATCTGACAAAAAAATGGACGAAGAAGGAAAACAACACTTATTATCAACTTAAAAAGGAATTTCAGCAATTTCAGTAATCCAGAAGATTAAAATAAGCATTGGAAACCTGGAAGCACGCAACAGTTATTTCGTCCTGGTATGGGACTCCTCAACAGTGCGCACTCATGACCTGGTGGCCGTGAGAACGAATACTCAACGATGACATTGGGTGATGGTCGTGCTACATCGTGAAATGACAGAAGTTGGAAACATAGACCATTGGATTCTGAACCACTGGCTTAATAGTAACCTGCTGGCCACAGAACCTGAAAGTCCTGAGTTCAATTTCTAGCGGGGCAGGGTCATGCGTGCGCATTGTTGAGGAGTCCAGTACAAGCGGGACGGAATAGCTGTCTAGTGCTTCCAGATTTCCAATGTTCCTCCAACTGATGGCAGTCCATGATGAATAGTAACTTAAAATCACTAAATCTACCACAAACCCCCAGATAAAAAAACATAAACTTCAGAAATGTCAAAAATTAGTCCCTTTGATGAAATTGCATATTGTAATAAGAAAATGAAGCTTATTTGAGAAGTTTACACAGTATGATATACTTGCAAGGATATTTACATCAAGTAGAGATATAGGGAGGTTGGCGAAAAGTCGAACAGTATGAATTTAAAGCCCAGACTTTAGTTGTCAAACGAAAGTATTGAGCAGTTATCCTCGATAATACTAAACCTGTGCTCAAAAATAAACCCTAATACTAAATCATTAAGTTACATTCAGTTGGGTATACCGATTTATGTATTTGTGGAGGCATTAGGTGAAATGATCAAACTATTTAGTCGAAGATGATGGGACATGTGTGTAAATGGCTAGAGAAACAACTATACTCAAATGACTCGGCAAATACGAACAGCAGATAGACATCGTCATCTATCGGTAAACATGTAATAAAAACCACTCATAAAATTGAAATTTAGCTGCATGTTACTTCAAAATGCTTTCATGTATTGTCCTTAACTCTTCAACATTCCCTGATAATCTCCCATTTACTAAAATGCCAGTGATGCAGTGAAAATATATTGTTCTTCGCTGTTTAATACTTGTAATTTCCGTTGCTATACAGGGTAGAATTGCTCGGTCTCTTTTAGCAGGTGAGTACTAGGTTTAAACCTCAATGGGAACAGTATCACTCATTGGGGTCCAGACACACCTGGCTGACGAGTCCCGAGTAGGACGAAACGCGCGTCCTGGATGCTAGTCACCAAGATCAATACAACACATTATCCCTCCTATATGACCTTTTCAGTTATATATTCATTAACCTAACTCGTTTATTTAATTCAACCCTATTTTCACTCTTCAAGTGAGATGTTTTGGAAAGTAATCAAATTGTTGGAAATGTACTACACAAACACATCCCACTACTCAGGTAACCTTGCCTTCCTGTTATATTATACGAGTATTAACTTGATGAAGACTAGTTAGACTGATTACAAATTTCCAATAGTCCAGTGACTACGTTACCGTTACTCGATTAGTAAAACTGTCACCTAGAAACGCTCTTTTACGGTTAGAATTAAGGTTATATATTTAACAAAGAATAAACTGAGATACTTGTGTAATTTGAGGTTAATGAAGACTTCCATTCTAAACTCTCATCCATCACTGATTGACATCAACCGGGGAATCAATGAAACCCTGAGAGCGCTGGAAAACTGTTTCGTTCTAGTACGGGACTCTTTAGCAGCACTCACCCATGACTGCTGAGGAGTCCCACATCAGTGCTCCCAGGTTTTCAGTGGATTCCAATCTGATACCCTTGGGTCATGTGGTTGGGCTCTTAGCTGAGAATATATCTTCAAGGTTGTCGTCTGGTTGTGACCTCCTATACACTCGAGAATCTGAAAGTAGCCACAGCTGTCTACGTCTTTCCACGCTTATAGGCAAATGACTGAAGTGAGAGCAAGATGAGATACACACATGGTTTTGGACATAGTTTATTATCTACAGTCATATTAAGAAACTAAGTTTTCCCGAAGATCCAAACATTCACAGACCTTGCTACTAATCTAATCGGGTGAAAACTATTCCTTTTCCGTCAATTGCTTCCTAAAATCTGACACCAAAGCACCGTAAATTGCATACTTGCCGATTAGGGTTTATGATACATCAGTAACCGTAGATTAAAACGATACAAAATGGTTTAATACCAAGTCAGTAAACAACTTTTTCACGTCCTATGACTATATTTGTGGATTAAAGAAACATCATTGAAAAGGAAGGAAACTGTAGTTCAGTACTTTACAGCGTTCAACGACGAAGTCATTGATGTTTCCACAGAATAAGTCCCCTAACCAATTCAGTCTACTCCGCTTACACTTCAATAGACCAGTCAAGTTATCCCATCTTGATTGGCCTAGATCTAAACAAGAAGAATTTCTTGAGTAACTGGTGCATAACAGAAGTCGGACGTTTATTTATGCTTGGTTTTTATAAGAAAAAAGGACAAAACAAATTGCTAGATGAATATTACAAAGCAGTATGATCAAATCCTCAGTCCATAATCAAGAGTTCACCTTGCACTCCATATAAATAACTTGCAATATACGTTTGGTTTGATTCTGTAGAATAACCCGTATTCGGCTGCTAAGTTGCATTATTTACTGCAAATTACATGGCCCAGTAACACAGTTGGTCTGGAACAGTAAGAGATTTTGTATTTCGGTCTACGCAAAACATATCCATAATCTTCAAGATAAACAACAGAGTAGATTGATGCTCGAATGTTAATCCAGGAGAATATTAGATTAAACAATTAAAAACTTCAATTCTTTAGGCTTTTAAATATACCATGACATCAGCTGAATAACCAATGCTACGCTTCAAAGACCAGGAAAAACCCTAGTGTACTTTAAAGTCACAGGACGTCATTCAGCGATGCGGTAGACGTAGGATACAGGCTTCAAAAGTAGCAACAGTAAGTCTTCGTTTCATTTGTTACGGACACAAACTTGAAACAAAATGGAAACCAAAAGATACACTATACAAAATAGAAAAGCAACACTAAGAAGGAACAAAAAATGGGAGAAAGAATGGAAGTAAAGACTTGAGTAGGCTGTCGAAAAAGCAGTCTCAGAAAAACATCCGAAGAAGTGTTCGATAATTTCAACCAAAGTTGTATCATGGTCACCACTAGCCTCGATTTAGAGCTATGTTTGGTATCGTTTCCCTTGGAACTCATCGAGGGAGTTGTGAGCATCAACAGATGCCAGTCCAACACAAATATCCTTCATCTCATGACACTGTAATACGTTTATAACACCCCAGCTTCTACCAACCAGTCACACAGCAAAATAACAATGAGCGACGTTGAAGCCAGTGTGAAGAAAAACATAACATATGCCTTAGCCACAGCAACCGGTGTTTTGACATGACGTCAATCGACGAACCACGATTTTCTGACGCTCATAGACTCATTGCCTCACCACAGAATTGCTGCCTGTTGTCTTCGCCAGATAGTAACAGTCCTACGAAGACATCGGCTACTGAAAACGAAGAGTCGGCTAACATCCTTAGATCAGAGAAACCAGGTTTCAAAGACAGAACAGAACTAACTGCACCAATGCACCGTACAACCAATCTTTTGTGGCAAGGTTAAGGTTATGATCGTCCTAAAGGTAACGTAGGGCGGTGTATACCGCTCTGGCTTTCGAGGTACAGTTTGAAATATCACTAGTCACACAGCCCCCCGTCCCAACACAAATCAGCAGGTATACAAACCTATTGATAACTTCCAACAGTTAACCGTCAGGCATAAATGCAGGTACCATACTTAAAGATACTAGTCGCTGACTGACAGTATGACTCAGGAAGACTTAATGCTGTAGCAGAATTAAATGATATCGTCCCCGTACTTCTGTTAGAAAAGTCTTTCGACTAGTAACAAGGACTACAACATCACCATGTACCCACCCCAGGGTTGTGTCTAGAATCTCATCAATAGTAAAGTTGAAGATTAGTAATAAAATAGGACAACACTGCCGAACCCCATAACTAGTTTGATGCAAACAGGATAGGCAGTTTTACTCCTTCACTTTAAATGAAGTGCTAAATCACAAGGGCTTCAAGATGTCAAAATCTGCCGACATACAAACCTCCGTAACACAAAGCTCAAGGCAGTACCAGTTTCTTCAGTGTCATAGATGAGTTTCACTGCACGAAATCTTAGTCCGAAGAATCATAGCTAATTGTACCCGTATTGCCAATAAAAATAAAATATAGTCTTCATCATGGTTTGACTTCAGTCAAGAAGCTATTGAGGAACTAGAAGCATCAAACAGATAGTCCGTTCCACTATAACTCTCAGTATCAGCACATATCCACCACATCGAAAAACCACAAAACCCATAAACATCGGCTCATGACCCGCATTCCTTAAAGTTCCAATGAAAAACAGTCACTACACCATCAGCAAAATCAACACTGAGGTGAATTCCCAACAATAACGTTGAATGTTTGTCGTACTATATCACGAGTTGATGGGAGTGGTGGAATGTGAATCATTTTATTTCAATGTAGTGATTGAATAGTGATGTGCTGACCAGGAGACGTGATGGTTGTTAACTGAATTCCTCATGGAGTTCAGTGTGGGCACTGTTGATTAATTTTGAAGTGGAACAAAACAACTGTCCAACGCTTCCACGTTTGCGATGGCTCTCCAAATGTAGTCAAATACTGATGAAAAGTACTTGAAAAATCAATAAATCGACAGCCATCTCCATTCGTTTTATGGTTTAGACGTTTGTCTCATATACTGATAACTAAGAGAATAGACTTGCGTTCCAAACTTCAATGACGACTAATTGGACTCCTTCTGTAATGAGATAAAAAACTAGTTGAAACTCTTTGTTACATTACATAAAAAATTCTGATTAAGTACCGGAGTGTTAAATCGGTTCATGAAGAACCGAATATGTAGTAGAGCTGTGCAATCTGCTTTGCTTGATATCATCC